AGGTTACTGCTAAGTGAAGAAGTGTCTGAATCTTCCTCATAAACTCTTTTAATAGACTTCATGGCAAACTTTTTTTTTGTACGTATTGTCTATATTGTCTGTCAAATATATAAATTTATGCAAAATTTACGAAAAAAAAAAAGATTTTCTTTTTTTTTTGCATGAATTTACAATTTCGTATGTACTCTTAATATATATATATAATATAATAATATATATTATTATTGTATACAGTTATTATTTTAATTATTATTTTTTTTAACAATGAATTAGAAACCATCATGGCAAAAAAAAATTGGCGTGTGCTACGAGAAAAGCATTTTTTTTCAATTTGTCAATTTGAAAAGAAAGTTGCAGCTTTTTTAAGCATAAAATTTATGATAAACTTTGACTTGCAAAATAAACAAATTTATTTAAAATTACATAAAACGCGAATATCTTTTAATAAAAAAATTTAATTCAGAATTAATTAAACATCATATTAGTTATAAGTATACTTGTATTTTTTTTCAATTTTAGGTTTTTTTTTTAATTTTTTTTTATATAGTAGATAATCAAAAAACTCAATTCTGTGGGTATAAGTTACACAAACATTAGTAAACAAACCTAATAATAACAAACACCCCTTTTTTTTGATTTGTCTAGCAAATTTACACGATCATAACCTCTGACAAATTATTATTGCTATTTATTTCACATGTTTAAATTTGCAGGAATTTTAACAGTCTTAATATTAACATTTATCATTTGGCCATTCATTAGAAAATGCTAGCCAGAGGTATATACTCCAGTCCACCTCAAATCGATTATGTTCTAACCGAAAATCCTAATGTTTGCACTTCCATGAATGCTCAGAGCATCCATTACATTTAAAAAAGCCTTTGAATGTTTTACAAGGTAGACAACATGTTTAATGCAGTTTACTTTTGTCATGTTCTTTTTTTTTTAGAAAGTGTCGATAACGCACATCAAGTTCATATAGATTATCACCACGACCAACTTCTCAAATAACTTTAAACTAGGCAAGAGATCTATCAAAATTCCCTCTATGACTGGCTATTACATCTTTGAATCCGCAATTACACATGGCGAGTATTCAACAACATCTATATTCTCTTCTAATAATTCATCGAAACCAAGATGTGGATCATTTTTTAAATGATCCCTTATCGATCAATTCATATAATAGATGCTTTGTTTTGAAAATGATTTCAGTTAGGCTCCATACGTACAGAAATTGATGGCATAACTTTTTTTCTTCGCGTTATAAATCAAAATAAATTAGATTCTCAAGATTGCTTTTGAAATAAAAAGATTACAATCGCTGATGAATGTTTTAGATGATGATCTACTTGACAGTTAATTATACTGTAAAATCTGGAAAGATAGCGCATTAACTTTTTAGTAATTTTCATGGTTTGCCACACACAATTTATTATATTAATCGTCACAACTTTGTAGAAAATTGATATTTGTCATCTGGTTATATCTTTCCAGACTACGGTAATTATGATTTTTTTGTAGATTAAAATTTTAATGTAATAAAATGGATATTAATTATCAAATAGAGGTTCTTTGGCGATTTTCCTTCACAACTTCCTAAAATCTCCTCATTTTCACTGGATTTGCCATCTTCTGTTTTTTTTTTCTAGAATAAATACTAGTGGCTATTGCCAAATAATGGCGGTGATGATGGTATCAATTTTTCACAAGTGGATGAATGATATGCAAAAATCTTGCAGCCGATATATATAAAAGAATTGGTAGAGGAGTGACAAATGAAGAATTCTATAATAAGTTACAAGGTTTCATCAAATCCGCTGGCGGAATTAATTTAAATGATATGGAGTGTTTGATAGTGTTGGCGGTAGAAGTAGTAATAACCGTGATGTTAGTGGTGACAAAATCGGAAGGCCACCAAGTAAATTCAAAGGTGGCTAAAATAAAAAATAGCTCAGATTAAGCTGATGTAAATATCTGTCCGTCTATCTATATCTTTATATCACCAATATTAATATCAATATTATAATTTAAATTTTTTTAAATGAATATATTTATTTATGTTTATATATTTAAAGGTCAGAAGAATCATCAGGCTTGATTGTGGAAGAAATGTTAAAGCGTTTAGAGAATATGTAACTTAAAGAAGACAATATAGTTGAGATGTGTAGTGAGAATGGATGAAATCATAGCATCAGTGATGTGAACTTTGACATTTAAAGAAATCAAATGAAATTTCGTAGTCTTTTATACCAAATCAAAAAGCTTATGTAGAAATAGCTTAAAAATCTAGTTTATATATTTAGTGGATGCGTAATAAAAAAATTTATTTATTATTTTTTGTAACGTTTTGTCAAGAAGGTTTCCTTATGGTCCGCTTGCCAAACACTTCATAAATGATGATGTCCGTTTAATTCCATCAAGATAAGTAGCCTCAAAATATTTCCAAAGTTCTTGCTTGTTATCCTTCAAATAAAGGATTAGAGTATAAGAACTCATGGTTACATTGTATTTATCCATAAGAAAAGCATCAAACACCTGATTATTAACTTCTGATATCCTATTTCGAGTAGCTGCTAGCTTTTGCTGTGCAACACAACCAGGTCCATTTATTCATGGATATCTTATTGATACATTTATTAGATTATTTGAATTCTAAAAATTTTTTAGAAACATTTTGAAGTAGAGATTGGAATTGTCCAAAAAATTCCTTAATCGACTACTAGCTGGTCAAAATTCTTTTTAATTTACAAATTACGAATTCATTTCCATTTGAATCTTTCATCTTTTCAAAATACTTCCACACAAAACCATGTGTTATGGATTTTTTTTTTTTTAATGATCTTCTGGAACCACTGCTTAAATCATCGAACTTGAAGCCAATGAACTAATTATTAGACCTTGTATCGGAAACGTTATTAGTTCACATGTAAAATTATCATCAACAACATCACCACCATTGCCACCAGATGGTATTGATACTTCTCTGCATAGAAATTTTCCATAAATTTTTTTATATCACAAAAATCCTTTTTTATTTATAATTGGTCAGACAATAATTATCAATATTAGCGGTATTAACATTAGTATAAGTAATTGACTAAAGATAGTCGACTATTACTATTAGTTGTTCAAAAAAAAAGTTTAGTCAATTCAAGCCTCTATTTTTGAAGTAAAGATTTAATCGATTATAAAAATAAAAATTTTTATTATAAAAAAACACCTTTAGATTTCTTGCAATTCATGATATCTGCAATTATTGGTAATAATCTTTTGTTTACCATACAATCCAGAATTGTTCATCTGAATTAAAGTATTAAAATAATCACAAAATTTATCAACTTATTTTGAATCTCATTATTCTTTACTGATATTTCTGCTTCTAATAGATTATACGGAACACCGTTTAGTGGATTTTTCTCATATAAATAGAACATCAAAGCGCGATCACTTGATTGATCTTTTGAACATGTCCAAAATTCAAGCTATTATCAAATATATTTTTCCGCAAATTTTTCTGGTGAATTATTGCAATCTTTATCCCTACAAACCAACAAAACAATATGTTTTATTGTTAAAAAAATAAATCAATTTTTATTTCTACCAACAAGAATAAATAATTTTAAATTCTCTATCAAAAGAGGTTAATTAAAGATTCTTTTGGCTTTGCACTTTTATCTCAACGAATTAATAATAATATTTCTTATTGTTAAAATTGTTAAAAGGAAATTAGTCTAAAGATTGTTTGGCTTCATTAATACTAATAAAAAATAGACTCGAATAATAAAAAAATGGACTAAAAATAATTAAATCAAAAATTCACTGCCAAAGTGGAATAGTTTGTTTTTAATTAATGCTAACTTTAACAAATAAAGTCACAAGCATCCTATAACAAAATAAGATATTTAGGTCCGGTCTAAGACTGTCAGTGACCAAAGGATCTGATCGTCGTCGGTTCAGTAAATTTTCAAATTTGATTATATTGAAAGTTTATTCGAATTATTTGAATAAATGAATAATAACCTGACTAAAGCGAATACAATAATTTGATAAAACGAATAAAACGATTAATTCAAATAGAACGAATAATTCGAATTAATATTAAGATTGAGTTGTATTACGAATAGAAAACTCACTGTTCATGCAACTATTTGTTAAAGAATAGAGACAATAAATAAATTTTGAATTAATATATATATATATATATATATTGAAATCTGAATTGAATAATAACAAAATAATATTTTTAACAAATAAATTGAAACAAACGCTTTGATGGATAATGGAATTATTATCTTTATTATCAAATTTACAGATGACTTATATACACATGATTATAAAAGAACAAATTAAAATTATTTTATTGGAGAACCAATATCACATTTTAATGAATTGCAAGTATTTGCCATTAATGTTGTTGTTATTGATATTGCTAATAGTTCATCCAAGTCTCTAGGAACAAAAATAAATAAAACAATTTATTATTATCACGGGTAATTGCTAAGGAATAACAGATAATTTATAATCAAAAAAATTTACTTTTCACTTCTTTCATAAAGTGTTATAGTGGTGCATCAAACATATCGCATTATGCTCTTAATGTGGTATCAGTAGGTTCATATTCTGTTGAATAAATGGAAGCAAGGTGTGAAGTAACGAAAATCGATACAGTTTATATACTGGCAATGAATATTTTTTTGTCTTAAATGTATGTGTTATTATCTCAATATAATTTCAGCTAGAAGATATGCAGTAAGGTGGATCTATATATTTTTAGCTTCCCATATAACAAATTGGTTGCGTAAACCAAATAGTTCTTTTACATCAAAGCATTCACACTTGATTAGGTGACGTCACATATTTACCATGAACAAGAAGAAATCAAATTCGTAAAATCAATTGGTGTAGGGAGAATAACTATGATATACAAAGGCCTTTACGACAATAATAAAGAGTATTAAAATATGTACATTCCTTGAATGTTTTCAACAAGGAGATGGAGATAATGGAGAAGTTGGATTTAGCTTGTCTTCTCAAAATACTAATCTCTAATTTAGCTGATTCTGGTAACACCGGTATGATTTATTGTCTTGGCTCCATTATACGAACCATTTGGAGAATGGATATCCTCCTTATCGTAGATAAATTGAAACAGGTAAATGGTATAGGCATAATATATTGCGATTTTCGAAAATGGAATCTATTGAGATATCGGGGATGGTAATCTGAAGATTTGCTGCAAATGAGCCACTTTTACTGGAGCTTTGAAGACATGTTAGATGATGCATTACAGATCAAATATACTCTTGGTGTATTCTTTTTAATGTTTCATCAACCATTGTTGAAGCACCCTTTGTCCATAATAAATAACAGAGGGAGCAGAAATCAAAGATTTTTGGAGAAACATGCACTTTATTTGTTGTTTATGCGCACTGTTAGTTTGTTTCTCAATCACCATAACTATGATAACTTTAATCAATGTTAATGGGTTGTATAATGAAAAAAGTTATATTTCAAAGAACCAAGCTTGTAAATTGTACTGACATAAACCGTAAACCTTCATCCGTTGTTGTTATTATTATTATTATGCTACAATTCAAAAGCTATAATTAAAACAACAAAGTAACATAAAATTGTGAATTTGTAACAAAAAGTTGATTTAGTTGGTATATATCAGCGCCGTCAAAAAAATGTTAAATTTATATTTTTTTTTCTATTATAAACTAATTAAAAATGAAACAAATTAAAACTATTATATTTTATATATATAAAAAAAATCGAACCGCGTTCGAATTATCTTCAATAATTGTATGTAGAGTAACTTTTGCAAACACACGAGTTGTGTTTTTGACTTTGAAATTAACTACGCGTAATATGTGCTTGAGCTGGCTTTATAGTCTGAATTTGAAACACACAGACTGGTCAATATTGGTATTTTTACATAATAGATAAGACAGGTTTAGGTACAAAGAAAACAAATAAACAATGCTAAAATGCTTTTATTGTTGAATCACAATGAATCAAATCACTAGCTAGAGTTTGATGATGATGATGTTTTTTTTTTTTTTTGATGATGAAATTTTTCTTTAAATGTTGCAAATTGTTACTTTTCAATTTTCAAGATTTGATATAACAAAACGACACTATTATTAAAAGTTGTTACCAAAGTAAAACTACATTTTAACTTCAAGGCTGAGATGCATGCATTCAGTGTTGAAATTTCAGCGCGGTGTTCCATGCACAATCCCTCAAAAGGAAACAAAATGGCCTTTAATAGTTTCTAAATTTGTAATGATTATAATAATTATACAATCAATCCAAAAAAAAAGCGTTTTCATTGAATTCGATTATAATGGAGGCCTGCGTAACAATATATTTGATTGATATAAAAACGATCGTCTTTCATAAATTTTTTTAATATCATTAAATCAATAATTTTTTGATAATAATGACTGATAATCTTGATAATATAATAGAAGTTGAAAAACAAAATATTATTACTACTTATAATGAAAGTAGTGGTAGTGGTAAAAAAAAAGATCAATATTATATTGCAATTAGCAATGATGGAGAATATATAGCTAGACTTGATTGTAATAAGGATGAAAGTTTAAGATTAAAAATTACACATCACAAAAATTTTGAATTATTAAATAATGATGATAATGATAGTGACATTGACAAAGACAAAGTAAAGATTTGTAATATTGTTAAAAAATTAACATTCTTAGATGAACTTAATCCATATGTAAAACCTTCAGAGGCAAAATATCCACAAGAAGATAATAGAAAACAAGAACAAACAAAAAAGGATAATAGCAATCAGGAAGAACAAATAAAAAAGGACAATAGAAAACTTTTAATTTGGTCATTTTCTATATCAAATACGATTTCTTTTAATAGTAAACCAACAATTTTAGTGGCAATTTCAAGAGTAGTACCAAATGATATGATTGATCGTGATAGACCAATTAATCACTTACTTGATAAACTTGAGGAATATGAAGAACTCAAATTAAAATATCAAAATATGAAAGAACTTTATCCCTTGCATACACAACCTTCTAGTACTGTAATATTTTATATAGATATAAGCAATATTTATAAAGATGATGATAAAAGTAACAATAACAATTATGAGATTAAGATAGATGAAAATGGAATTTGTTTAACTAGTAATATTGGTGGAATTGTGAGGTTTTTACCAGAAGTTGAAAAAAACAAAACAAGTCTTTTAATAACAAATGTAAAAGGATTTTATAAATCTCTTGATAATTTAGATAAACCAAATATTTATTCAATTTTAAATTTAAAAAGATTTCTTTTTCCACCAAAATTCAAAAAAGATATTGAAACTCAGTTTGAACAAACACCTTGCCTGGAAAAACTTCTTTCCTATATTTATAAAAACTATTTTCTATTTAATCAATTTAAAAACAGAATCCAAGCGTTGGAATTATATTCAATGTTAACAATGGAAGCAGAGCAATGTTTTTTTACTCGTGAAGAATTAAAAACTCAAAAATATGGCATTCCTACTTATGCAATTTCATTAAATAATCTTTTGCTAGCATTTACATCTGGAAATAAAGATATTAGAATTTATTCTATGGAATCAGGTCTTTTTATTGCTTTAAAAAATTTGGATGACAAAGATGAATTTTTATTTCTAGAATTTATACATAATGATGAAAGATTATTCATTGTTACACGAAATGATACCAATCATAAAATCTCTATAAAAATTTGGGATATTTTTAATTCTTCTCCTGAAGATTTTAAATATGAAATTAACAACAATATTATTCCAAAAAAATTTGATTGTTTGAATATTGCAAGATCAAATGGGATGATTTTTTTTGTTAAAGAAGATGGCAAAGTCTTAAATGTTCTTAAAAATATTGAATTCAAAGAATTCAAAGTATTTGAAAATGATGATGACAATAATAATGGAATAAAAGAAGAAAAATCATTTACTGTATTTAAAAATTTTAAGAAAGTTGACAAATATTTAAACCATTGGTATTATTGTGCAGAAGATGATTCTGATAAACATAAAATATTTGATCCTTTTGAAAAACATAGTGATCTTGGTGGTCCAAAAACTTTACTATTAGTAGATAATAAGGAAAAATTGGTTGATGTTGATCAAATTACACCACTAGTAAATAATAAGGAACAATGGGTTGATAGAAAAAATTATGAAAAAACATCTGCTTTTATTGATGAAAATCGATCATTACAATTATTTATTGGTTTAACTACTGTTCAAATATGGCGTAAAGTTACTGATGAATTTCATGTTCTTGAATATATTTGGATGCTTAATCATGTTGAAAAAGAAAAAAAAAAAAATAACGATGTGGAAAATGAAAATCATGATGGTCACAAACATTTAAAAATAAAGAATTTGAGAGTTGGTTGTAGAAAATTTGAACTGGAAGTTACTTGGGGTTTAGATAATGGGAGCAGCAAAAAAATCCAATGGCCTTATCCAGATCAATATGTAACACCTATAAGACATGCTTGTAAGGCTCTTGAGTATCTTAATTTTAAAAAAGATTTATTAGTAAGCTATAAAAAACAACGTAAATTTGAAGAAATGTATGAATATATTGTAAAAATTATTTTGAAATTCGTTAGAGACAAACCTGAAATATGGAAACTTATGGATACTCGTTATGAGGTTATGTCAAACCTTATTAATGGTGGAGTTAATTCTCTTATAAAGCATATTTTATTTGGTAAAGATCAAATTGGAGACAATATTGTTATTCAAAATACAACTAAAAAAACATCCTATAATACTTCAAATCACTTGCATTTACATTTACCAAGAGCTAAACAATGGCAAAAAAATAAAAATGAAAATGAAAATGAAGATGAAAATGGAAATGGAAATGGAAATGGAAATATTCAAAATAATGCATTAGTATTAGCAATCAATTATTACACTGAAAAAAATGATAATTTAATTATAGGCTATTTATTAGAATATTATTCCAACAATGCTATTGAACATATTGGATGGATGATCACTGTTTCAACAACTTTACCTTTACTTTTCCAATATCATTTAGAAAATTATGTGTATGATTTATTTTACAAAGAATGTTTTGCTGGTAATAACATAGGAATAAATTTTAAACTTTTTTTGGATAAAGAATTGACTGATAATAGTATAGGAATAAATTTTAAACTTGAAGATACCAAAAGCAACACCCTACAAAATAGTGCAAAGAAAATTTCTTTTAAAAAAGTAGCTTTTGGAAAAGATAATCAAAATAGAACAAATGAAATTAAAGATAAAATTGTTCAAAAAGCTGAAGGAAAAAACAAACACAATAAAGTACCATTCAACTTGTGTGTAGTACCACTTCCAAATTTCACAGTTAATAAGATTGAAAAGAAAAAAAAAGTAGTTACAACTTTCCTAGCTTTTCTTAGACGTTTTATACTTCCTCATAAGTATATTGATGATGAAAAAAAACTTAGTTCATTTATTCAAATGATTGGATTGGATGGAAAAGGTTTAATCTTTGATAATCCAGCAATAGAGGCTTTAATAAATTTTCGTTGGAAACCTGCAAAAATATATTTTTCATTACTTTTCTTTATGTTTATACAATATGCAGTTTGTTATGGTATATTAATTTGGGCCTATACAACATATCAAAATAGTTCAAGTAATCTTCAAACCTTTTTAATTTTAGTTATAAGTTATTTTTATTTTACAGGATATCATCTTTTATTAACTGAATTCAGACAATTAAAATACTATGGATTTAGAAAATATTTTTCTGATAAATACAACATATTGGATATTATTGCTATTATTGTACCCTTAATAGTTGGAACATCTATAATAGTTAAATCATTTGAAATTGAAAATGCATTTGGTAGTGTTAAACCTGATCAAGGAACAATTGCTGCTATATCTTTTTCAGTGTTATTTCTTTGGATTGAATTTGTAAGTAAAGTTATTATTTATCATTTTTGTTATTATCATTAATAATTAACTAATTAATTAATTGTTTATTTAAAAAGCTTTCATACCTTAGATTATTTGAAGGTACATTGTGTATATATATATATATATATTATTTATAAATATAAAAATTTATTAAAAAAATTTAAATTTTTGTAGATGTAGGAATTTATATTATAATCACTGAAAATCTTTTGGTAACTGTTTGGCCACTTTTGTTATTTATGCTTATTGTTATATTGGCATTTGCTCATACAATGTAAGTAGTATATTTATAATTTAAAACATTCTCTTTAAAATAATATATTAATAATATATTATATTATAGGTATATATTGCTACAAAAACCAGATGATATAGGATTAGTACCAAATGTGAATACATATTCTATATTCAATGCAACTACCAATCAAACAGTGTATAGTGATATAACAATTAAAGCAGATTTTAATAGCACATCATCAATTGATAATCCATTTTCAAATTTTTTTAATTCAATTCCAGCTGCATATTTTTGGATTAATGGTAACTGGATAAATAGGGATACTTATGGCAGTTATTTTGCAGTTCAAATTTTATCTTTAATTGCAAGCTTGTTAATTGTAAGCATTATACAAAATATGTTTATAGCTTTTATGAGGTAATTAATAATTATATCTTATTAAGTTTAATAATAATATTATTATTTCATATTAATAAAATAAATAAATTTTATTTAGTAATGTGTATGAAAACACATCACAGCAAAGTAAACTTGAACTACTCAAGCTCCAAGCTACTTTCATATCAGACTATGAGGCTCTGGATTTAGAAGATGATTTTTTAAATCCTCCTAAACCTGATCCGAAATACATTTGTTATAATAATAATAATCTTGATTCATGGAAAGAAAGAACCAAATCAAGAAGAGGTTGTTTATATGCAAAATACGAAAATGATAATTCTTATATTCAATACATTCTTGAAAAAAAGGATTTTGACCATCAAGATGGTTCTTTGTGGCAGATTTATAATAAATTGGATGATTTCAATGATGATGATGTTAATGAAAAAATTTCAAATTTAGAAAAAAAAATGGATGCGAAAATGGATAACATAATGTTGCAATTACAACAATTACAACAATTACTCCAAAGACCTTGAAATTTTCTCTTTAAAAAAATACAATGTATTATTATTTTTTTTCCAAGTCCAGGATTAGTTTTTATTATGTTAACCCTTTATTTTATGTGATAATTTTTATTTTTAACATTTTTACAGTATTTATTTTTTTTTTTTAATTAAAAGTATAGTTTTTATCATAATTTTACAATTTTAAACCCGTTTTTACGCATCAAGCATTTTAATTGTCTCAATTTCAGTGAGAAGGTGTAAGGTGTGTGTGTGTGTCTATACATTCTTTAATTTCCCATATAATGAGTTGATTGCGTAAACCAAAATAATTCTTTTCCATCAAAGCTTTTCAAATAGATAATTGCTCCAAACATCAGTAGGAGTTGTTCCAGTACCTTTTCTCTCTGATGATATATAACTTTGTGTCATATTGAATAAATTATTTATCTTCATCATTTGACTCACATATATAACCAGGTTTCACACTATCTTTTGATTTCGAATAATGAATCCTTTTCATTGAGCTGAATCTTAATTCTCATATTGATTCTTATCGGAAAACATACTTGTGTATTTTTGCATCAATAAAATTCTCATCAATAAACAGAAAACAGACATTTTGAAGGCTTATAAGTATTCTTTTGTGATTTGACGTTGGGATTAGCAAGCTTGTGTGTACTTTTCTTCAATAATTAAATTTTAATTCATTTTTTATATTTTTCCACTCATCATCTATTTTACATTTTCATCGTAAAAGAAACTGGCAAGTAAAATGTCAAATATATTGAGATCTTCCTTTTCCATATAGCCAAAATACTCACATTTGAGAGAAGTTTGCCATGTTAATAATTGAATTCAATTCTTATATTTCTTTTTTAGAGACACACAACAATTTTACAAAATTCCTTTACATCCACATACTTTTGGTATATTATTTGTAATGTTGGAGTATTCAGCATACATAACTTGTGGCATTTCACCCAATTCATCATCCATTCATTAGGCGACGCTTTTGCTACGATGAAACGCACATTCGAAGAAGAGATCTTGACATTAAACTTAAGAAATCAAGGTCATTGGCTCATCTATACCATTATGATATTCATGCACAGGTAGATGTTAACACTATGGAATCGATTCAGGATGGTGGCTTTAAGTATTTAGCAATTTAGTCTGAAACAGAAAAATGGCAGCTTATTCTGCAGATAGGCGAAGAATTCACATTTCCATCTCCACACACACAACTAAATATGATGAGTGGAGTAAAATTGTCTTGTTTAGGAAGAATTCAATTCCTGAAATCCCAGAAGAAGGTAAAAAGGGAGAAAATTTTCTACAAGAGTATTTTTGTATGCGTGTTGCAATTACTAAAAATTTTAATAATATACAACATGTTGTCTATGATGTGCAAATTGAACAATCAACATCTTCTTAACCCCTAAATGTTGTGAAATTGTAGTGATCCAATATACAGTTCTCAAATGCATACGTTGGGCGTGAAACACCATTTGGCGAGAAACTACTTTGACTTCAACCACATTGAGCATATGTTTATGTTCTTTTTACAGATTTCCGTGTACTCACGAAAATTTACATTAACAGGTTGGTAAGGATAGGTTTCAACATAAAAATACACGACTCGAAAAATTGGAGACAGATGATGGTTTACCAACTGAAGGGATCGAAGCAATTGGTTACACAATGTTGAAAAACCATTCACACTTGATTGGGTGTAAAGCTCCTCACAAGCTGGCTTGCGAGCTGGCTCATGCGGAGCCTTAATTGGGTGATGTCACGTATTTATCAAGAAATCAAATTTGTAAAATCAATTGGTATAGGGAAAACATCTGTGATGTACAAAGGCCTTTACGATAATGATAGAGTATTACAATATGCACATTCCTTGAATGTTTGCAACAAGGAGATGGAGATAATGGAGAAGTTGGATTTAGCTTGCTTTCTCAAAATACCCGATCTTAATTTAGCTGATTATGGTAACACTGGCATGACTTTTATTGTCTTGGCTCCATTATGCAAACCATTTGGAGAATGGATATTCTCCTTATTGTCGATAAATTGAAACAGGTATAGGCATAATGCATTGCGATTTTCGAAAATGGAGGATTTCCTGCAAATGAACCACTTTTACTGGAGCTTTGAAGACATTGTCAGATGATGCATCACAGATCAAATATACTCTTGGTATTGAGTTGGCCTCAGTGGCCTGTTCTTTTAATGCTTCATCAACCATTGTTGAAGCACCCTTTGTCTATAATACACCATTTAGAAGTTTTTCTGATATTAAAAGATCATCTAAACCAAATTCATTCACTCCAGAATATTTGGTTTTTTTTTAAATTTTTTGATATAATGCATTAAGAGCATTACTTATATGATCTTTTTCTTCATCAGACTCACAAATATATTCTGACTGACCTTCACTACCTTTAAAAACATGTACAGTGAAATTTTGACCATTTAATTCTGTTACTATTGACATTCCTACCCATATAGGAAATGATTCTTGCCCATTGTCAGTAATTATTTCCAACCACCAATTACATGAAAAAGGTCCAAAATGTAATTCAGGAATAATGAGACCACAAGAAATAAGTGTAGGAGCAAATATTTTACTTTTAGTCATAATTATGTAGAATAAATACACAATTGTATAGTAAGCGAGTTGAGATTTTGACATGTTTTGAATTTATGTTTTAATATCCCCACAATTTACTGATTTACTAATTAATTTTCAAATTTTTGAGCATTTGTATCACAAATCACGAATTAAGATAACAATGGGATATTAATTATGATCACATTACAAATGACTAAATTTGATCCCTGAAATTTCTTTGTAGTATTATGTTCACTTTGTCTGATTTTGTTGCAGTCTGCCCCATTGGACAACCTGCACTATATTCTTAAATATCTAGAAAATTATCATCATCATATTAATAGTTTCTAATTGACAAACAATTAACAAGATTAAAATTTGTAGAATTAATATTACTAATCAGTCTAATTTTAATTTGTACAAGGCCAATATCTGTCCAATACCTTCTTCAAAAAACATAGATATTCTAGAATTCCAATGAAAGGTTATTTTGTTATGTAACATATTTCATATACAAACACAAATCTATGACAATTTAATACATACTATTACATAATTTAATACATACTGGTTTATAATTTGTGTGAAATAACATAGAAAATTATTTAATAGACAGAATACTGAATCAGTTTTAATTATAGAAATTTAAAATGGCAAAATGCCTACTTTAATTGTAAAATTTTTGGTGAAATAAAACCACATTCACATTATGGGTTAAATGCAAGAGAATGGCGAGATACAACTAAATTGATTTATTACTTATTGAAGTCTGAAGCATTATAATTTGGTAAATTATAATTTATCATCATAATTATCATATATTTTCTTTGGTGTTATTAACTTTATTATTATTATATTTAAAAAATATAATAATTTGTTGAAAGATAATGATATAACAGTTGAGCAGACATAATAAGGTTTTTGAATAATATAATTAGAATTATTATTTTAAAATCATCAATTATCTAAAACATATTAAATGGAGTATGAATATATTTATTAATTATTCTAGTTTTTTATACAAGTTTTTTGTAAAAAATTGGCTTGAAATTTTTGAAATTTTTGATAAAATTAAAAAATGTCAAAGCCAAGTCAATCTCCTGATTTGAATCCAAAGAGCATCTGTGGGATCAATTAGAAATTCGTATTCGGAAAGGTCCAAATAAATTTAAAAATAATGTTGAACTTTACATGAAGAATGGAATCAAATTCCTAGAAAATATTTACATGAATTTGATAGAAAGTATGTCGAGAAGAATAGAAGCTGTTATATCCAATAATGGGCGGCCAACAAAGTGTTGACTTGTATACAAATAAGTAAAATTTCGGGTGTGGTGTGCGTTTTTTTTTTTTTTTGAGAAGTGATATAAATACTTGCAAATAAAATCTTTTGGAGATCATTTTCCAAAAAATTATTTTTGGTCGAACTTTTTATTTTTTTAACTGTTATTCTCCCAAACATCACAAAAATTTGAATTTTGCATACATATTCTTAAGAACTTTAATCACAATTTGATGAAATTTATTTGTGTTTTATTATGTACGTTTTTACGTGATTAATTGTTTTGTGGTTACCGAAACTTTTGTCCAGGGAGTGTATGTTACGAGACTTTGTTAGCGCTAGTTAGTTAGCCCAAAGTTAGTCAATGAGCTGTCTAAGTTATTTGTTTTGTAATGAAAAAAGAGAGTTTGCGATCGGCCAAATGGAAATAAAACAAGGGTAAACGACCGAAATAAATAAAAAAGGAACTTAGCATTTGAGTTTTGTAAAGAGCCATATTTATTTATTTAAAGTTATACTGTGCCATTGAATGAATCTCACAGATTCGTAGAGTACACAGTAAGCGAGAACCAATGCATGTTCGTAAACTAATTAATATCGACACGCACCGAGTTGGTTATAATTAACTGACAAGCCATAACTGCTAAATAATCGGGCGTTAACTTGAGATTATTCTAAATTCCAATTCTGGTATATATAAAAAACTTAGCCACACAAACAAAAACTCGTTTCATCCATTTATCCTTTTTTAAAGAAAAAAATTCTGGAGAAAATTTTTTCTCTACGAATTAAATGTGTGTACACATGTGTAAAAAAATTGCTAAAATTAGAGTAATAATTTTTGTAAAGAATAGATCACACACACACAACAAACATGTAATAAATTATAAATACATATTAATATATTATACAAATAAATAATAAAAAAGACAATAAAAATATATAAAGACATTATAAATTTAAATTCAATAAATATAAATTAAGATAAAAAAAACATTTTTTTTCATTTTTCAAAATTTTGACACTTTTTCATAAATCATAATAATGCAATCAAAAAATAAATCACCATTTCCATTATCAAAACTTCCATTTGACATTCTAGAAAACATTACATCTATAATCATTAAACATGAGAGATTCAAGGTGATCGGATCAAACATCATATTTATTAATAGAACATTTGCCAAAGCCGCAATACCTCAAGTATGGAAAACTATTTATATTTATGAAGCAAATGAACGTAAAATTTTTCTAATTTTAAAATCTGCCGCCACTTCTTCTAAAATGTTTGATTATTATAAATTTATAAAAAATATAATTATTTGTCCAATTTCAATGTTTTCTAATAAAAAAACAAACGGATTATTTGCAACTTTGGAATTGCTACAAGAATTATTGCCGAACTTAAAGTCATTACATCTTCAGATCAAATCTCCTATTAACCATGATAACAATGACAGTGATGATGAAGAAGAAAGTGAGAGTGGAAGCGAAAATGAAAGTAAAGAAACCAACCAAAACAAGAAAATTAATCGAGGCGAAGATAAAGTCATCAACAAACTAACAAGGATTCTATTCAAGAGAAAAGGATTAAAGGAATTAATTTTAGATTCTAATCATTCGTCATTCAATGATTTATTATTGAAGAAAATAAGTCGTAAGAAATCATTTATCAAAGATATTAAAAGATTGTCATTGAACGGAACAAATTTCACCAACAAAGGAATAATTAATTACATCATACCACTTCTCAAAGATGACAATTATAACAAAACCAGTAATTTAACAGAAGTCACTATTGGATACGATGGGATTTACCCATGTGCAAACATTACGAGCAAATCAATAATTCATTTATTACTAGAGTCTAAAAATTTAAAAAATTTATTTTTGAAAAATTTAATTCTTTACGATGAAGATTTATTAATGATTGAAAATGAATTATCGACGACGATGATGATGATGAACTCAAATTCCACAGAGATAATTAATTCGAGTTCTGCAGAAATTACTAATTCACCTTTACAAATGTTACCAAAAAGTACAATAGAATGTTTATTTCTTGGTAAAATTAATCAACAAACTTTTACGTCCAAAGGTCTTCGATCCTTATTATTATTATGTCATGAAAACTTATTATCATTGGTGATAGATTTAGATCATATAACTTCTTCATCTACATCATCTTCTTCGTTGTCGCCATCTTATGTTTTAAAAGATATAATAATACCAATATTTCAAAATCAAAAATTGCAAGAAATTCATTTAATATCTGATTCATGGTCAGAATGGAATGATTTTTATCCTAAACCAAGATCTGAACATGAACTGAAAGCAAAAGAAGCTTTATGGCGATGGACTTTAAAATCTTATTGGGGAATATCAAATAATTTGATTGAATCATTAAGTAAAAGTATTAAAACTTTGAAAATATTCACTATTCTGGGTAAAAATTATTTATTAAACTAAATAGCTCAATTTATAATCAACATCATATAATTAATCAATATTCTGTTAATCATGACGAAAACTTATCAAGAGTAAACAAAGAAGATAATATAGAATTATATAATCAATTTATAGATTATCAAGTAACACCATTTGATAATTATTATAATAACCTTTAGGATTTTAATTGAGATTTAGATACAAAGGGTTAGTATTACCCCTTTGTATATAACAAAATATATAAAATATTCTTGTGTGTAGTAATCGCAGGATTAATCTAAATTATATTATCCATTTATTAAATGGATTAATTTCTTTTATATTTGAATCTTTTCGAATTAAGATCTATTCGAGTTTTTATTTCCTTTTTTCCAAGCTGGCTTGAAGAAAAACTCCATTTGCTAATAATTGTCGATGAATTCTTGTAAATTTGATCCAGATTTTGTAAATAATCTTTTTTGCCAAAAAAATTCCAATAAACAGTCGTTGGTCTTAAGAATGTTAGCCGAAAAATGGTTTTTGAAAAAATCAATTTCGACAAGCAATTTCAGATTTACAATATTCTTTATATCAATAGACTACCCAGAATTTTGGCTGTTGAGTTAAAGTGTTCAAATAATCTCATATATAATTTCGACAACTAATAAAGTTGATTTTGGTAACTATGAAGAACTATTTCGGCATTTTGGACTCGGCAATGATCATTTATTAAGAGAGGCAATTTCGGCTAACATGCTTAGTTGATCTGATACTAAGGAAACGAACAATTTGGCTTTTCAGAATAAAGTACCGGGATGCACTTTTTTAATAACTTTGCAAAAAACTACATATAAAATAAATCAAAAGCATCACTTTGTAGCTCATCCTTGTGAATATATATATAAAGTTTATTTCTCTGTAATAATTAAAAACACATAATAATCAATCTACAATTTTGGCATGTGATTAATATAAATCTTAAAATAAATTCATTTTTAATAAATTTCTTTGAATAAATTCTTCGAAAAGGTTTAAACTTAAAGTGTCAGCTTTGATGTAGTAATTGCATTCATGAAAGGACCAGAAAACCCTATTGTATGTCACCGTCAAATCAAATCAAACGATCAAACATACAAATTTGAATCTTGCCTTTTATAACTGTTTTCTATTTTATTAAATCTTTTCCTAGAAAAAGATTGTTTGAGGAAAAAGTTGATCTTCGGGTCACCAAAACTTGCTGGGCTATTATGACATAATCAATATATTTTAAGTCACAAATACCTGACACATTTTCATTTTTTCGTTCTCCAATTCTTCCAGACCATTATCAATATATTATTTGGGGTTAATTTTTGACAAACATGCTTCAATGTCCACAAAAAATGACAATTTTTTCTCTTTGAATGTCTTTTAAATTTGCAACTTGATACACGAATCAGTGTGGCTGGTGACCTTTTCTTCTTCTGTATTAATGCGAATATAAGGTGGTATATACTATTACTATCAAATCATAGTGTTGGCAGTGACATTCATATAATAGAGTTTTCCTCAAAAAAACTTGGACAAAGTTTTATTTCTCCAACCATTAATTTAATAAACACAGTAAAGAGGTCAAATTTTGCACATATATTCACAAGAACTTAAGACGTTTATTTGTTTTTTTTTTGTATGCGGTCTGTTGTGGAATCATTAAAGTGCATCCAGATCATTTAGGTGCAGACGGACCATAAGAAAACTTTTTTGACAAAACGTTACAAAAAATAATAAATAAATTTTTTTATTACGCATCCACTAAATATATAAACTAGATTTTTAAGCTATTTCTACATAAGCTTTTTGATTTGGTATAAAAGACCACGAAATTTCATTTGATTTCTTTAAATGTCAAAGTTCACATCACTGATTCCATGATTTCATCCATTCTCACTACACATCTCAACTATATTGTCTTCTGTAAGTTACTTATTCTCTAAACGCTTTAACATTTCTTCCACAATCAAACCCGATGATTCTTCTGACCTTTAAATATATTCATTTAAAAAAATTTAAATTACAATATTTATATTAATTATTGGTAATATAAACATATAGATAGATGGAAAGATATTTACATCAGCTTAATCTGAGCTATTTGGTATTTTAACTTGAAATGAACCACCTTTGAATTTACTTGGTGGCTTTCCGATTTTGTCACGGTTATTACTACTTCTACCGCCAACACTATCAAACACTCCATATCATTTAAATTAATTCCACCAGCGAATTTCATGAAGTCTTGTAACTTATTATAGAATTCTTCATTTGTCACTCCTCCTCTACCAATTCTTTTATATATATATCGGCTGCAAGATTTTTGCATATCATTCATCCATTTGTGAAAAATTGATACCATCATCACCGCCATTATTTGGCAATAGTCACTAGTATTTATTCTAGAAAAAAAAACAGAAGATGACAAGTCCAGTTAAAATGAGGAGATTTTAGGAGGTTGTGAAAGAAAATCGCCAAAGAACCTCTATTTGATAATTAAAAATCCATTTTATTACATTAAAATTTTAATCTACAAAAAAATCATAATTACCGTAAAGTCTGGAAAAATAGCACCAGATGTCAAATATCAATTTTCTATGAAATTGTGCGTGACAAACCATAAAAAGTCAATGACACGGGGCACTATCTTTCCAGACTTTATGGTATAAGTAGATCATCATCCAAAAACGTTCATCAGCGATTGTAACCTTTTATTTTCAAAAGCAATCTTGAAAATCTAATTTATTTTGATTTATAACGCGAAGGAAAAAAGTTATGCCATCAATTTATGTACGTATGGAGCCTAATTGAAATCATTTTCAAGCAAAGTATCTATTATATGAATTGATCGATAAGGGATCCAGATCTTGGTTTAGAAGAGAATATGGATGTTGTTGAAATACTCATGTAATTGTGGATTCAAAGATGTAATAGTCAGTCATAGAGAGAATTTCAATAGATCTCTTGTTTAGCTTAAATGTATTTGAGAAGTTAATCGTGGTGATAATCTTGATGTGCGTTATCGACACTTTCTAAAAAAAATCATGACAAAAGTAAACTGCATTATACATGTTGTAAACATTCAAAGGCTTCTTTAAATGTAATGGATGCTCTGAGCATTCATGTACTGTGCAAACATTAGGATTCCTTGCTTGAGATTTCAATCTCGCAAAACTATGTCTCGATTTTTTTTTACTAAATCGAAAGATGGATTTCGTTCATTGTGTATTTGTTCCGATTGTTTTGATGGAGAAAGGCACTAGTAAGTTCATATGCATGATGATGATTTAACTAAAGCTCTAGAAATATTTGGAAGCCAAATCTCATGATGAAATGAAAAACAAAATGTCATTTTGTCATTACTTCCAATGCTTGAGATAACGAAGTTATCTAAATAGACTTAAGCAATACAAAAAAAACAGTAATTTTGGGATGCAATTGAAGAATTACTATGTGGAGCAATAAAAGAAAATTTTCAGAATTCGTGTCTCTTACAAACTATTCGCTTGCTTTGCCACAAATTCTTTGTTCTTTTTTTTTTAATGGACTTATTACTGTTATTCAACAAAAAAAAACATAAAGTTGTAGAGACAAAGAAAAAATCGTAAGTTATCTATCGTCAGCTCCTTTAGATATCACATCAATTAAAATGAGTTACAATCTTTTTAGTATCAATTAATTGGGTGTGATTTCCTATGCAAAGTTAGTTCCCATTAATAGACTTGAAGTTGGTAGTGAGATTTTTATAATCTGGCTGTTATAAATTTACAAGAAAAACTTATGGATACGGCAATAATTAAGATGTTGCTAGACATACTACACGCTATACTTTGTGTAGTATTCCAGTTAAGATTCCTTCAAATTTGCAATTTCTTTCTTCTGGTTGAGTAATAATTGGGGAATCATTGGTAATAAAAATCTAAATGAAAATATGATAAGGTTTTGATCAATTAATTCATTTCAGAAAAGATATATGATTTTGATGTTAAAGTTGTTCATCATATATTAAAAATTTAAAATTTAGTGACAATCACATGGTAATACAGTCTCCGGCGAAAGTAATGGCGGTGATAATTTTTTTAAAAACTAAAAATTTTTAATAAGCAACTATCAATAAA